GACAACGGTTGGTGCAATCATTCGCAAATGGAAGAAACACAAAACAACTGTCAGTCTCCCTAGGTCTGGTGCACCATGCAAGATCTCACCTCGTGGAATATCAATGATCATGAGAACAGTGACGAATCGTCCCAGAACTACACAGGTGAGGATCTTGCAATGATCGCCAAGTAGCTGGGACCACAGTCACCAAGAAAACAATTGGTTACACACTATGCCGACAAGGATTGAAACCCTGCAGTGCCCGTAAGGTCCCTCTGCTCAAGAAAGCTGTCAGGGATCGCGGCTCCAAGTTCAGCGACCGCGGCCCCTCTCCCAGCGCATGCGCACTGGCGGCAGATCACGCCGGGACACAGGCACTAGGTCCCGGCGAGCCGCGGCTGACAGGACGCCGCGCATGCGCAGTAGGAGCCTCAGGCGTCCAATGACAGCCGGGGGCGCGTCCTGGCCGGCCAATGACAGTGCAGGGCGCACTATTTAAAGATGCCCTGCACTGTCACAGATTGCCGCAAGGTCTATCTGTGATCCTGAGTTCCTGTACCTGTTTAAGTGACCCTGATTGCCCTGACTACTCCTGTGATTTGACCCGGATTGCCCTGACTACTTTGCCTTCTCCTATTTTGACCCCCGGCTTGTCTGACCATTCTGTGGACTGACTTACCCTGCGGACCCTGCGTGTGACCTGACTACTCTTCGCCTGCCGATTCGGTACCCCGCTTACCCCCACGGGACCACGGCCCGTGACCATCCTGCTAGGTCCCGCCATCCTCTTCACATCTGGCTCTCCCGGTACCTGCATATGTCCCCGGAGGCTTCCTCTGCCACTGGTGGGCCTGCTCGGAGGTCGTGACCTGGCCCGGGTCTGTTACAAGTCCATCCCCACCATCAGGGGCCCTGGTGAAAGCACAGACCGGGCTTAGACTCCACGCTCTGGGTAGGTCTGTCAGTTGGCAGCCTGAGGCACCACCTGGCGGATCCTAACAGTACCTTGTGGCCATGACAGAGCCAGGAAGTGGACCGGCGTCCCTAGAGGATATATACCAGCACCTGGCAACTTTGACCCAAGCTTTCCAGAATTTCCACAGCCGCTGCGCCCGACTTGAGGACCGCATGGAGTTGTTAGCCACCCTGACTCCCCCTGCTCAGAGTCCTCCAACTGCGAATCTCCCGCTACCCCGGCATCCGGAGCAGTTGCCGCGCCCCTAGCTCCTGAACCCCGCGTTCCCCTGCCGGAACGATTCCGTGGAGACCGAAGCCGCTTCCGAGCCTTTCGGAACGCCTGCACCCTGTATTTTGACTTGCAGCCCCGCACGTTCACCACCAAGACCGTCAAGGTGGGGTTTATAGTCTCTCTCCTTCAGGATGAGCCCCAGGATTGGGCTCACCATCTGATGGAGAAGCACGACCCCCATCTTGATTCCGTGACCGAGTTCTTTCAGGCCATGGCTGTGTTGTATGACGACCCTCAGCGGGCTGCTTCCCCAGAGGCTACCCTATACTCTCTACGGCAAGGCCGCCGGGCAGCCGAAGAGTACGCGTCCGATTTTTAGGCGTTGCATGAGAGATACCAGATGGAACGATGCGGCATTATGTCACCAGTTCCGCATCGGGCTGTCTGAGTCTCTCAAAGATGAGCTAGCACGAGTAGGTCTACCTTACTCCCTGGAAAAAACTGATTGAGTTGGCCATTCAAATTGACCGTAGACTAAGGGAACGTCGGCTGGAAAGGAGCAGCCAGGGTCAAAGGGTGGCATGGATTCCACAGAGAGAAACAGCTCCAGCCCCAGGGAACCATACCCGAAGCGCGGAACCAGGGGACACCTCGGAACCCATGCAACTGGGACTGGCCCGTTCCACCTTATCGGCCGAGGAACGTCAGAGGAGACGATCACAGAACCTATGTCTGTACTGCGGGGAAGCTGGTCAGCAGGTGCGCTCCTGTCCTGCAAAAATGAGTAAGTCCGCTTCCTTTTCTTTTACTTTACCTGCAGGAAGGGGTGATCAGTCAAGTTACCTGGCAATACCTGTGTCTTTACAGCTCCCCGGAGGAACATTGTCGGTGACCGCAATCGTTGACTCGGGAGCATGTAGTTGTTTCATCAATCTTACTTTTGCTCACCGGCAAAAGATCCCTCTCCAGACCAAAGAAAGGGGGTTTAACATCTTCTTGGCAGATGGGTCTAGTATAAAATCAGGGGTGGTGGACCAGGAGACACCTCCTATTTTTACCACGATGGCAGACCATCACCAAGAGTTCCTCCGTCTGGATGCCATCGCATCCCCCCTTTTTCCAGTCATTCTGGGGCTCCCTTGGCTGCGGGCCCATAACCCCCAGATTGATTGGGAAAAGGGAACAGTTCAATTTCGGTCACCTTACTGTCTGAGTCACTACCATGTCACAGGATCCGTGGTTCCCCGTTTCTCCTGTGCTTGGATGGCGATACCGATCTATCCCAGGTTATTCCTCCGGCCTACCATGACATCTTAGACATATTCAGTAAGCGAGGAGCAGACATTCTTCCCCCGCACCGTTCATACGATTGCCCCATAGACCTCCTGCCCGGATCTGAAATCTTGTTTGGCCGTATCTTTCCTTTATCAGAACTGGAGTCGGGAGTACTGAGGGAATATATTGACGAAAACCTTCGGAAGGGATTTATTTGCCCATCCACATCCCCAGCCGGGGCCGGGTTGTTCTTCGTAGAAAAGAAGGACAAATCGTTACGGCCCTGCATAGACTACCGTGATCTGAATAAAATAACGGTAAAGAATCGCTATCCCTTACGCCTAGTCCCCGAGCTCCTCCAGAGATTGAGGTCCGCAATGATTTTCACTAAATTAGACCTGCGGGGGGCATATAACCTTGTTCGTATCAGGGAGGGGGATGAATGGAAGATGGCTTTCTGTACGAGATTCGGTCACTTTGAGTATCTGGTGATGCCGTTCGGGCTCTGTAACGCACCGGCCACCTTCCAACATTTTATCAACGACGTCTTTCGTGATTTCCTCGATGTTTTCGTGGTGGTTTATTTGGATGACATCCTAATTTTTTCTCCCTCACTGGAGGTTGATCGAAGTCACGTGTTACAGGTGTTAGAACGGTTGCGTCAACACGGGCTATACGCCAAGGCAGAAAAATGCTGTTTCGAACAGTGCGAAATCGCGTTCTTGGGACTGGTTCTCTCTCCCGCGGGGGTCGCGATGGATCCCCAGAAAGTCACGGCGATCCTAGATTGGCCAATACCCACCGATAAAAAGGGGGTACAGCGTTTCATCGGCTTTTCAAACTTTTATAGAAAGTTTGTTAGGAACTTCTCCGGTCTGGTCTCCCCAATCACGCAACTGATGAAACAAGGGGTCCGCTTTAAAGTGGACTCCCGAAGCTCAGACGGCATTCGAAAAGCTCAAGAAATTGTTCACCTCTGCTCCCATTCTCTGCCATCCGGATTCTTCTCTCCCATATGTTTTGGAAGTGGACGCCTCCGAAAACGCGGTAGGAGCGGTTCTGTCCCAAAGGAATGGTACCAAGGAACTACTGCATCCTGTGGCGTTCTTCTCCAGGAAGTTGACGCCGGCGGAACGAAACTATGACATTGGAGATCGGGAGCTCCTGGCTATTAAATCCGCTCTAGAAGAATGGAGGTATTTACTGGAAGGAGCCACACACCCAATCCTAATATTCACAGATCATAAAAACCTCGAATATTTAAGAACGGCAAAACGACTGAGACCTCGCCAGGCGAGATGGGCTCTTTTCTTTTCTCGGTTTATATTCCATATAACGTACCGACCCGGTTCTAAGAATACAAAACCAGACGCTCTGTCCCGCATGTTTGAGGACCCCGACGATGCAGTGTTACCTGACACCATCTTACCTTCCGGAAGCTTCCTCGCTCTACAAACGGAACTTCGCTCCAGACTTCTCGATGCTTGTGTAAGACTGCCAGTCCCGTCTGGGTCACCTCTCCAGAACCGTGGGGGGCTGTTTTGGAAGGAAGATCGGATCATGGTCCCAGAAGGAGTTTGAACCTTGGTCTGGGGTACTGCCACGACCATCCAATGGTGGGTCACTTCGGGGTTACGAAAACTCTGGAACTACTGCAGCGCTCGTTCTGGTGGCCAGACATGATCAAGGACTGCGAGCGCTACGTCCAAACCTGTCCCACCTGCCAAAGGAACAAGCCCTCCAGGAGCAGGGCATGGGGATTGTTACGTCCATTGCCTATACCCAAGCGGGTCTGGCAAATGATAGCCATGGATTTCGTGGTCGAACTCCCACCATCCCAAGGCTACACAGCAATAATGGTGATCGTCGACCGCTTCTCAAAAATGGCACATTTTGTACCCCTGGAAAAGACACCATCGGCACCAGAAACGGCATGGATCTTCATTAAGGAAGTAGTGAGGCTTCATGGGGTCCCCGAAGATATAGTGTCAGATCGGGGAGTCCAGTTCACCTCCAGGTTCTGGAACGCCTTATGTAAAGCGCTGGGAATCAAGCTGTCGCTTTCATCCGCTTACCATCCTCAGACCAACGGCCAAACAGAGAGGACCAACCAAACGCTAGAACAGTACCTAAGATGCTACGCATCCTACCTTCAGGATGACTGGCTGACGTTGTTGCCTTCCGCGGAATTTTCTTACAACTCGAATCACTCAGCTACGGGACAATCCCTGTTCTTTTCCAATTACGGTTTATCATCCCACATTCCTCCCTGATCTGATGCCCGAAATCCGGTACCTGAGTCTCAAGATATCTTGAATTTATTTTCTGTCAATAACAAAAAACGATTCAGGAGGCCATCGCAAAAGCCCAAGAGGACAGTAAAAGGGCGTTCGACAGGAAAAGAAGAGGAGAGTTACTGCTTCAACCGGGGGTGTCAGGGCTCCCAGGTGTGACCAGAGGTGTGTGACTGACGCAGGGAAACGCAGACTTCAGATATGTGATAAACAATATAATTTATTAACACTAACCATACAAACATAAACGCAGTGCAATACTAAAACATAATACAGTGCAAACAAACCAAACCAACCACCCACAGATAACAGTACATACAAGCAAGCGTCGTCAGGCAGGCCGGGTCAATATCAATAGGGCAGGTAGGTACAGGGGGAGCAAGCGGAGATGGGTCGGGGTCACTGGCCAGGTTCAGCAGGTAGCTAGCAGCGTAGTACAGAGGGTCAGGCAGAGGGATGGTCAGGGTCACAAGCCAGGGATCAGAACAGGTAGCTAGCAGCGTGGTACAAAGGGTCAGGCAGAGGGGATGGTCAGGAGCGAGCCGGGATCAGAGCAGGAGAAGTCAGCAGCGGTTCAGATCAGGCAGGGTCAGCAAAGGAACAGAAACAGGATGCAGGACAGATACAGGGCCCAGGACAAACACAACACCAAGGCAGAGTCTGCAAGTCTGGCCATCCCTTAAATACACCAGTATCATCAGTTCCAGGTGTTAGCTGGCTGAAAGGTTGAGTCTCTGATTGCTGGGAGCACCCGCTGGCCAGCCCTGGTACTGCAGATCAAAAGGCAGGTGAGTCCCACCATTGCTGGCCAGTCCATTCCTGACAGGGGGATCAGGTTTGGCTGGCTACGACCAACTTGAAGATGCTGTGTCCTTCGAGGAAGCTAGGACCCAAGTACATTGGCCCGTTTTCGGTTTAAACGAGTAGTCAACGAGGTGGACTACGAACTCGAGCTTCCGCGAACCTTCAAAATACATCCTGTGTTCTATGTGTCTCTCCTGAAACCATCCAGACCAGATCCCTTCCCGGACCGTGAATCCAGACCTCCCGAGGCAGTCACCATAGGTGAACAGGAGGAATATGAAGTGGAGACTATCCTCAGTTGCCGAAAGAGGGGGGGCCAGACACAGTTCCTGATAAAATGGAAGGGTTATGGCCCTGAGGAGAACTCATGGGAACCCACCCGGAACATTCACGCACCCAGGCTCATCCGGGAATTCTTTCGTAGTCACCCGCAGTGGAGAGATCAGTGGGGCTCCCGGAGGGTGCCCATAGGGGGGGGGCAATGTCAGGGATCGCGGCTCCAAGTTCAGCGACCGCGGCCCCTCTCCCAGTGCATGCGCACTGGCGGCAGATCACGCCGGGACACAGGCACTAGGTCCCGGCGAGCCGCGGCTGACAGGACGCCGCGCATGCGCAGTAGGAGCCTCAGGCGTCCAATGACAGCCGGGGGCGCGTCCTGGCCGGCCAATGACAGTGCAGGGCGCACTATTTAAAGATGCCCTGTACTGTCACAGATTGCCGCAAGGTCTATCTGTGATCCTGAGTTCCTGTACCTGTTTAAGTGACCCTGATTGCCCTGACTACGCTGCCTTCTCCTGTGATTTGACCCGGATTGCCCTGACTACTCTGCCTTCTCCTATTCTGACCCCCGGCTTGTCTGACCATTCTGCGGACTGACTTACCCTGCGGACGCTGCGTGTGACCTGACTACTCTTCGCCTGCTGATTCGGTACTGTCAGGAATGGACTGGCCAGCAATGGTGGGACTCACCTGCCTTTTGATCTGCAGTACCAGGGCTGGCCAGCGGGTGCTCCCAGCAATCAGAGACTCAACCTTTCAGCCAGCTAACACCTGGAACTGATGATACTGGTGTATTTAAGGGATGGCCAGACCCACAGACTCTGCCTTGGTGTTGTGTTTGTCCTGGGCCCTGTATCTGTCCTGCATCCTGTTTCTGTTCCTTTGCTGACCCTGCCTGATCTGAACCGCTGCTGACTTCTCCTGCTCTGATCCCGGCTCGCTCCTGACCATCCCTCTGCCTGACCCTCTGTACTACGCTGCTAGCTACCTGCTGAACCTGGCCTGTGACCCCGACCCATCTCCGCTTGCTCCCCCTGTACCTACCTGCCCTATTGATATTGACCCGGCCTGCCTGACGACGCTTGCTTGTATGTACTGTTATCTGTGGGTGGTTGGTTTGGTTTGTTTGCACTGTATTATGTTTTAGTATTGCACTGCGTTTATGTTTGTATTGTTAGTGTTAATAAATTATATTGTTTATCACATATCTGAAGTCTGCGTTTCCCTGCGTCAGTCACACACCTCTGGTCACACCTGGGAGCCCTGACAGGTACCCCGCTTACCCCCACGGGAGCACGGCCCGTGACCATCCTGCTAGGTCCCACCATCCTCTTCACATCTGGCTCTCCCGGTACCTGCATACGTCCCCGGAGGCTTCCTCTGCCACTGGTGGGCCTGCTCGGAGGTCGTGACCTGGCCCGGGTTACAAGTCCATCCCCACCATCAGGGGCCCTGGTGAAAGCACAGACCAGGCTTAGACTCCACGCTCTGGGTAGGTCTGTCAGTTGGCAGCCTGAGGCACCACCTGGCGGATCCTAACAAAAGCACATGTCCAGGCCTTTCTGAAGTTTGCCACTGAACATCTGAATGATGCAGAGGAGGACTGGTTGAAAATGTTGTGGTCAGATGAGACCAAAATCGAGCTCTTTGGCATCAACTCAACTCGCCGTGTTTGGAAGAGGAGGAATGCAGCCTATGACCCCAAGAACACCATCCCCCAACCATCAAACATGGTGGTGCAAACATTCTGCTTTGGGGGTGTTTTTCTGCTAAGGGGACAGGACAACTGCACCACATCAAAAGGACGATGGACGGGGCAATGTACCATCAAATCTTGGGTGAAAACCTTCTTCCCTCAGCCAGGGCATTGAAAATGGATCGTGGATGAGTGTTCCAGCATGACAATGACCCAAAACACATGGCCAAGGCAACAAAGGAGTGGCTCAAGAAGAAGCACATTAAGGTCCTGGAGTGGTCTAGCCAGTTTCCAGACCTTAATCCGATTGAAAATCTGTGGAGGGAGCTGAAAGTTCGAGTTACCAAACGTCAGCCACCAAACCTTAATGACTTAGGATCTGCCAAGAGGAGTGGGCCAAAATTCCTCCTGAGATGTGTGCAAACCTGGTGGCCAAATACAGGAAACATCTGACCTTTGTGATTGCCAACAAGGGATTTTCCACCAAATACTGAGTCATAATGTGTGCATAATTTGTTAGACATGCATTTCTTTTGAATTTTTTTTTTGCAATTTTGTCTCTGTGTTACATCACACCTACCATTCAATTTTTAGACTGATCATTTCTTTGTGAGTGGGCAAACATTCAAAATCAGCAGGGGATCAAATACTTATTTCCTTCACTGTATATAGTATACCAGTCCTGTGATTGGTCAGGGGGTGGAGCCTGTACCCATATGTATACACTGTCATGCTTATGAGTCAGGAAAGGAAAACTACTGTCAGGTAAGTATACAATTTTTCATTATTCCACGTCTCTGAACTGGGTATGCTTATATTAGTTCTTTGTCATGTAATCACTGGCATTATTGGGAGTTTTCTTTTGTGCTTGAATGTGGTCACAAGTATAACAATTACATTGCTGTTTTGGTGCACTTTAAATTTGAGTCTCCAAGAGAGGAAGTTCCTTGCGTATCCCTCCCTGGAAATTGTTTAGGTGATTTAACTCTGTTATCATAACTTCATGCCATTGAAGAATTTTGCTGTTATGAAGTGCTTTTTAGATGTTTTTATACAGTATGTTAGGGGTTGTTGTGTAATATTTCGAGTTTTGTATCATGAATAAAATAATAAATTTACTGAAATTAATTTTAAAGCTTATTTGGTAGGCTCCTGTTTTTGCTAATTTTTTTTTTGTACCAATGTTGTAAATATTATAGAGAGTACCACCTCTCTGGATGTGTTGATTGATATGAGATATACAGGTGAAACTCGAAAAATTAGAATATCATGCAAAAGTTCATTTATTTCAGTAATGCAACTTAAAAGGGGAAACTAATATATGAGATAGACTCATTACATACAAAGCAAGATAGTTCAAGCCGTGATTTGTCATAATTGTGATGATTATGGCTTGCAGCTCATGAAAACCCCAAATCCACAATCTCAGAAATGTAGAATATTACATGCAAGCAATAAAACAAGGATTGTACATAGAACAATATCGGACCTCTGAAAAGTATAAGCATGCATATGTACTCAGTACTTGGTTTGGGCTCCTTTTGCAGCAATTGCTGCCTCAATGCGGCGTGGCATGGAAGCTATCAGCCTGTGGCACTGCTGAGGTGTTATGGGTCTTCCAGGATGCTTCAATAGCAGCCTTCAGCTCTTCTGCATTGTTCGGTCTCATATCTCTCATCTTTCTCTTGGCAACGCCCCATAGATTCTCTATGGGGTTCAGGTCATGCGAGTTTGCTGGCCAATCAAGCACAGTAATCCCACGGTCATTGAACCAGGTTTTGGTGCTTTTGGAAGTGTGGGCAGGTGCCAAGTCCTGCTGGAAAATGAAGTCAGCATCCCCATAATGCTAGTCTGCGGAAGGAAGCATGAAGTGCTCCAAAATCTCCTGGTAGACGGTTGCGTTGACCCTGGACTTAATGAAGCACAGTGGACCAACACCAGCAAATGACATGGCTCCCCAAATCAACACAGTTCGTGGAAACTTCACACTGGACTTCAAGAATCTTGCAGTGTGTGCCTCTCTATTCTTCCTCCATACTCTGGGTCCTTGGTTTCCAAATGAGATGCAAAGGTTGCTCTCATCAGAAAAGAGGACTTTGGACCACTGAGTAACAGACCAGGTCTGTTTTTCTTTAGCCCAGGTAACACGCTTGTTTGTTGTTCAAGAGCGGCTTGACAAGAGGAATACGACATTTGAAACCCATGTCCAGGATCCGTCTGTGTGTGGTGGCTCTTGATGCACTGACTCCAGCCTCAGTCCACTTGTGAAAGTCCCCAACACTTTTGAATGGCCTTTTCCTGACAATCCTCTCCAGGCTGCGGTCATCCCTGCTGCTTGTGCACCTTTTTCTTCCACACTTTTCCCTTCCACATAACTTTCTAGTAATGTGCTTTGATACAGCACTTTTGGGAACATCCAACTTCTTTTGCAATTACCTTTTGAGGCTTTCCCTCCTTAGGGAGGGTGTCAATGATGGTTTTCTGCACAACTGTCAGGTCAGCAGTCTTTCCCATGATTGTGATTCCTACTGAACCAGACTGAGAGACCATTTAAAGGCTCAGGGATCCTTTGCAGGTGTTATGTCCTTTTCACAATATTCTAATTTTCTGAGATTGCGGATTTGGGGTTTTCATGCGTCGTAAGCCATAATCATCACAATTATGAGAAATCACGGATTGAACTAGCTTGCTTTGCATGTAATGAGTCTATCTCATATATTAGTTTCACCTTTTAAGTTGCATTACTGAAATAAATGAACTTTTGCACGATATTCAAATTTTTCGAGTTTCACCTGTAGACAATATGAAAATACGGAAGTGATGCAGCGCTACTCTGATGATAATATTGATAACACTTTATAAATAAACATATAAATGAAAAAGTGTACAAAAGTGA